CCCCTTTTTTGGTCAATCGCAATCAAGCTTGTCCTATGTTCCCCCCTCTTTTCATGGAAAATTTCACTTAGGATCCGGTTAGTACAAGCTCAATTGCCTTACAACTACTGGTTAAGCTGTCGGTTGGAATTGGTCCGTGTTAATTGGACTCCTGTTAACCTTTTACCTCACCGTAGAATAACGTGAGACCTTCAAGGTGATACGTCTCAGTACAGCTAGACGTTGTGCGACTGGTTAGTGAATATGACAAGGGCGTGCAACTGATCTTTCGACTGTGTCTTGTTCAATACCCTTAAGAACAACTCTGGCTACTGTCTGTTTGATTAGCCGACACCACCAAACATGTACAAAGTATTTCCTTTTCTTGTAGCTAAACCTTGGAGATTCTCTACCACGAAGGTTTAATGCCATTTTGTAGTGACACTGTTCACGAGAGTAACCCGTGAGAATAGTTCGGACTACAAGTTTAACCATCAAACGTTTTGTTGCTCACAATGGGTGACCTATTGATGTCGCTCTGATTGTAGAACTAACCATTCGAAGTAGCGTCGGCCAAAGATGTAACTAGTCGATGTTGTTCGGTTTGTAGGATCAACTAGTTGAGGCAACACTATATGTGGTGTTTGCCAGAGTGAGTGGCATCGGACAAACTGCAATGAATGACTCTAAAGCTTTGTTGCACTGAGATTGTCGACCAGGAACCCCCCGTCGCTGCAATCTCCTGCTTTACCCTTCGTATGCATCTCTTTCGCTTTCGGCGGGCTCACAATACTCCCCTACTTGTGAAAAAACCTAACCACTATCGTAGCCAGATTCGTAAAGCTTTTAGAGCTCTGAGAAAACTCTAGCTTGCCTCTAAGTTGCAGAGATCTTCTCATAGAGTCTTTTTTTTTTTTTTTTGGCTTCATGTTGTGTTCCCTATCTTTCTCCTCCCCCTTTACTACATCTTCTCCTTCCGCGAGCTCGTCGAGTTTCTCGCCTCCCGTATAGTATAGCTAGAGTTTGCCACGTGAGTGTGAGTTGCGTGTTTTTGCACGTTGGTGTCCAATTGGCTGTCCCTGGGAGCATGCGAAGTATATCTGGCCCACTCGGGGCCAAGCACTTAAAGTTCGTTCCCTCTGTAACTCTCTTGCAACCGTGCGACAACTCTTCATCCGCGTCCTCTCTTTTCTTCTTCTCTCCCTTCCACTTGGGGCCTACTTTTGTAGGGTTCAAGCTGCAATGCAAGGTAGGACGGCTCCACCAGTCGAATTGGAATTACGAGGGGTCGGGCCAGTCTAGGCCACCCACTTCAAATTTTAAAAGCAAACGAACTGTTTGTTCCTCCATGGACTCACAATAGGGGAACTAAGTCTGAATAGACTAGGTGAATTTTCGTAAAAGACAATGAAATTTAACTTCACTCGTGAAATGCTAACGCCGCGATCGCATGGGTCCATTCGATTAACCGAGACTAAAGCAATGATCTAGATCATGACGCAAATCTAAAGTGCAACATTCTCTCTCTTTTTTTCCCCTTCTCTTCGTTTTCTTTTCTTCTTTCCCCTTTTGACTGTGACCGCAGTGATTCTTAAGGGAAGTGGTCATCGATCGCTGGGCGAATCAGCTTAATGTGGACCGTTCTCTCCTGAAACCTATTCGTTGGTTCCAAGACCAGAAATCTAAACCTGCAAAAATCCCTTCCCTACAGTGGCAGATAGCGCACCGCTGCCTGCCCACAGTGACTGGCAGTCACTGGCTAATAGATCGCACCAACCCGGAACAGCGAGGCCTGGCGCTGCCATGGTGCCAAAGATGTATGCACATGTTCCCTGCCTACAAGAGGGTGGAGACTATCGAGCATATTTTTATGCAATGCCCAATAACTCAGTTTATGTGGAGGTGGTGGGGCCGGATTTGGCGGAAGATGGTGACTGATTTTCTCTGGCCATAGTCATGGCGGGCCGTTTTGGCGGGTCATTGGTCATTGGCAGGAGAAGGTTCGGCTTTTGTTGAAAATGTTGTGGTTGGGCAGGAGGACGGTGATGTGGGCTCTCTGGAGACAGAGGTATGTTTTGGCCCTCGAAAGTGTGAGGATAGAAGGTGCAGAAATAGTTGAACAAATTCAGCAACAGGTGAAACTACTACTCATACCAAGGTGGTCCGACACAAAGTCACAACTGGACCTTTTCACATAAATCTCTGATGTCAGGAAGGGGATAACAACATTTTGCACGGGCTGGTTGGGAGGAGAGAGGGAGGGATCGGTAGCAAAGGTTACATGGGGAGGGGATAAAGTTGAAGGGCAACATGGTTTGGAGGATATGAGAGATTATAGGTTAGGGTTCAAAGAATGGACTCAGGTGAAACCCTCATTCCCTTTGCGCCCCCCCACAGATTTCCTGGACCCCTTCCCTCTCCACGCCCTCTCCCTGACGGAAACCCTGGTTTGATGAAAATCTCAAATTCACCGCTACAAATGGCAAGGGTACGGAAGGAGGTCGCACTGGTGCCCCCCAGTGGCTCCCTCCGCTCCCTCTGTACAGTACATAGTTAGAGGTGTGGGATGCTGGACCCGATTCTCCAGCAGGTGGATGTTGTCAGTATCATCATTACCATGACCATCATCCCCATTTCCATTATCACCATCTACATCATGAGGGACGCTGAGCCCGGTTCTCAACAATTTTGGTTCGGCTACTCCGGGTAGACTGTGAGGACCCCGACCTCAATCTCCTTATTGGTAATATCAGCCTTGGGCATACTGAACTTAGAGTACATCCGAAAACAGTTATGAACTATTCCTGAATTTCCTGCCAGCATTGATTTCCCTGAGATTCAGGGGATTGGCTGAGCAGGGTAGTGGAAGGAGGGGGGACCTCTTCGCCTTAAATCCGGCGTCAGATACACAGCTATCCTAGTTCCTCCCTTCCCTTAAGATGTATTGAGTCTGTACCTGCTGGAAATCGGGTGCATCGTCCCATTGCCTGTTTTCACCTCCCCGAGCACATCCTATCACATTTTTATGCAGACATCGAAGTTTGGTACCTGCTCTGAGTTCTAGTCCTATCATCTTCTGAGTAAGCTAGATCTGCCTCTTCGTCCCTTCTTTTGGGCCGCCTGTTGCTATCCACAGTCCCTAGCAGTCTAGGTACTCTCTTGAAAGGTCCCTAGTTAAAAAAAAAAAAAAAAAAAAAAAAACCCTTGGGCACTGGGGGTTTGTGGGGGCTCTTCCCCATTCGGCCCTTTACCGGGTTATTTTAGCCTTTGGATGGTTCCTTTGGGGTTGGTGGCGTCCGCGGCTCCCTTCTGTTTTTTGGAGGGCTCCCTTGTTTCCTTTCTTCCTTTCGGCCTATCGGGGGGCGTTTTTGCTTTTTGTGAGACTTGCGTTCTGGGCCACCCACTGACATAATAAGGCTGGAACCGGTGAACCTTTCGTCTCCCCGATGGTTCCCACCTCTGAAGCTTGCATGGTCCACAATCTGCTATGGTACCTTTGTCAGATCCCGGGTACCCTCTTCTGGAACACACGTCGAGCCAGGGCGGTTGGAGGAGGCTCTAACCCGCCTGGCGCCGGTACAACAGAAAAAATTCCCGCGAGAAACGGAAGTTGAAAAACATTCCATAAGAAAAAAAATCCTTCATATTTATAAATTATCATTCCAATGTTCATCCAATTCCAAAATTTCCAGTTTTATTTGATAAGTTCCCGTCTAAATGTACGTTTTCCCTTCCAACTACATCTATTTGTTCAAGATGGAATGGAAGTCTGGATGAGTTTATGAAATATTTTAATTAAACTTTCATTCTAGTACAACAAATATCTTCTAATTTAGATTGGATTAACCTATTTATGACTGGAAATCCTTACTTAGAATGACAGTCCAATTAAAATATTTCATGAACTCATCCAGACTTTCATTCCATCTCTAGCATCCAGTTCAAATAAGAAGGGATACCCCATTCTTGGAATGAGAGTTTTCAAGTAAGACGGAGAATTTTAAAATTGGAATGACATTTTTTAAGATGGAATGAAAATTTAAAATTTAGAATGTAATTTTACTATAAAATGATTATTTAATTCTGGGAATTTTTTCTGTTGTATAGGAGCAAAACCAGCCACGCTTCTGTCTCTTACTTTCGCGACGTGCACTGTTACCGTCGCCGCCGGCTATGCTGAGGTCCCCTAAGCTATTTGGATGACAGCTCGGCATTGTGACAGTCTTCCATCGCTATTTCAAGTTGCGCTATCTCGCCTTCATTTGCTTATCGGAGCTGCGTACCGTGGACAAAGCCGCTGGTGGCATTGTGTTTCTTTTTTGTGTGTGCCTGACCCTTGTTTTTGTTGGTGTCTTTTTTGCAGGCAGTAACCGTTAGGATGTATGAAGATACGATGGTGTTTGCCCGGAAGGGCCGACCTTCTGCTACTCGTACAGACGCTGCTGCCTCTTCCTCGCCTCTCGTGCGGAGGTTTCTTTGTCGACAGTGGAACGATCGATCCCCTCGGCTGCCTTTGGATTTTTGGTGGCTGGACTTCTTTCGGTTTCGTTTTTTTAGTATTTATAGATGGCAAGGCACCGGTATGGCCATCTGAGTGGAGTCGTGAGAGTCGGGATTGCTCTTTTTACCTTCTGATGATTCTGCTTGCGGGGCAGATGAAACGCATAGGGGTGTCCGCGTTGGTGGTTTTCTTGGATCTGGTATCGGTTTCGATGTGATCCTATTACCGCCTGTTGGTTGTCTCCGATTCTCTTTGATTGAGACTCTTTAAGCGTGCGTAATGGAATGTTTGCATGGGTGTATTTACCATCTTCATTCTCATGCTGGAACTGTTTGTCGTACAATTTTTCGATTCTGATATACGTGGCAACCATGAGTGAACTTGCACATTCGATGGTGGCCGCGGAGTTCTGTGATTAGTGGGGGTGCACTCTGTGTTGCGTCAGTTATTGATTTGCGATTTTGGGTTGGCGACTAGTTGTATAATCGGGAGTTTGGCGCGCGGAGACGTATGATTTCGTGCCGATTGCTTCTTTGTGATTGATTCTCGGGTTTATTGGGACTCGCCGGGTTTGGTCTTGCGATGATGAGGATTGTGCTCGGGGCAGCTATCCTCGCTGGGGATTTTGATAACCCGGATCTTATTAGGATCGTTGTTTTTTATGACGAAGCGACTAGGGCTTTCCTTTTTCGGGTTAGGAGGGATTAGGTGGTTAGTTATTGAGTTTTATCGTTATCTTTCTGATTTCGACCATTTAGTACCGGGAGCAGGGGATTGGTGCTGGGAGCTCGGAGGATCGATAGCCGACTGGCCCGGTTTATTCCCCCGGATGGCGACCCCTTTCAAATGCTATACTTGTGGGGGCGAAGGGCACTTCGCTCGTGAATGCCCCAGTAAACCGAATGGGGGAGGTGGTAATACCAACGGTGGGAGTCAGGCCACTACCCCGGTGACGCCTCGTTTTTGGACGCCCCGCAGGAATCAGGTGGATGAGGAGGAGGAGTTCCTGCGAGAGCTGATTAACGAGAGGAAGGAGGAGAGGGCGAAGGGAAAGGAATTGGAGGACCAGCGGAGGTTTGATGAGAGACTGCGGACTGAGGTCGCGAAGTACACGGAGGCGACTAAAGCTGAAGTTATGGCCGAGATTGGGCGTCAATACCGGGGCCACCGAGAGGATTTGCGCCGGGAGGAACAGATCCGAGGTTGGTCCTCTCCACCTGCACGAAGGGGACTCCATATGGGCTGTGACGAAGTTGATCTTGGCACCGATGATCTGGATGAGGAGATCCGACGGCTGTCAACCCTGCGTGAGAAGCGTAGGAAGGGTAAGGAACCAGTTGGGACTAGGAGATTTCGACAACCTGCCTTCTCTGAACCTGGTGATGATGGCGATGGCACTCCCGCGCGAGCCGAGACGTCACGAAGGGCGGAAGCACGGGCCAGGACCAAGATCCCAGCAGGATCGGGGGCTGATGGGTTCCTCCAGTTCATTTTGGATCAGAAGAAGGAGTTGAAGACCATGAGAATTGACGAGCTCAAATGTATCTGCACCAAGGAGTGTGTGCGATACTGCACCAAGGGACCGTCGATCGACCGAATCATCGAAGCACGGACCAAGCTCGCATATGACGGGTTTGTCTTCTCTCTCGCCACGTCTGCACCTGGATCGCCGGAGGTGGACCTTGCTAACTGACTTCGACATTTCTTTATTGTCAGATTATGGGATAACCTTTTGTATGATTTGTCTCTTAGGACCTGGGCAGTCTGTATGAACTCACCCCATAGGTACCGTTTGGTGGTCGAGAAATATATTACACTTTGTTTTGTTGTTTTGGTGCTTGCGGGTGAGATTCGGTGTTCTTCCAAATTTGAGAGATTGCTGTGCTCCCTTGATTGGCGAACGTGAAATTCTAGCCCTGTTGTGTATGCGCTCTCCTCACCTTGGTGTAAATCCCAATACGTTGGAAGCACTACGCGTGGCTTATTTATACGCTGGGGGGAACATGTTCGCACCTGCATCTCGGGTGGCTTGGGTGTCAGTCCTCGTCTTTATAGGTGGCTGCGTTTTGTGGGTGTGGAGAGGTACGTAGCCTTGCCCCTTATTAACGGTCTACAGACGGTTGGCCCGGCCGAGGTAGCTATTATTCGAAGATTCAGTCCGGTCCAAACACGATTAAATCTAGGTGGTGCTTGAAGTCCCGGTGTCGACCTTCTAGGAAGAAGCGGTGTGGTTCTGCGCCTACGATACAACGTTTCGGTGCAGTTCTTCGATTTCGAGTTGAGAGGGGTGCCTGGTGGGGTAGCCTGTTCGCGCTTTTGATGTACCATGTTAAGAGGGGGGTGAAGTCTGTACTTATTGAATGTATACCGGGTACTATCAGGGAAGATAAATGGTCCATTTTGCGTCGGGTTTTTGGGACCTCCACTGTATCCGGTACCAAGGGGGATTTTGGCTTGCGGGAAGGGAAAAGGTTTTTCGAGGAAGGCGGGGTATTTGTGTTTTCCCCTCTCATGTTTACCCCATCTCGTCGTGCAATTCAGAAAGGTGAGCTTCGCCTTCTCCTGCAGCAACCTTGGCGACGGCGGTTTTTGTGTCAACGGTCTATTCCCTACCTGGTCCGTTGGTTTCGGGCAGCTAGGGAATTCTCGAGGAAGGAGACCCGATCACGATTGAAGGGCATCCTTGGGCGGGAAATCAAGCGACACCTGGGTGTGGACATTCGGAAGAAGGTTGTAGTGAGGATGAGGTTTGACCATTGTCTATCCTCCACTAGGGTGCATCAGCTGGTTGTTAGGATCTTGTGTACGTCTGTCTTTCCGCAAGCCGTTATTGATTTCCTGTGCTCCCGGGTTCGTTTTGTTTGGAAAAAGAACCGTTCCATTGCCAACCTCATTCACAATCACAAAAGGTTTGCCAGATCATCAGTCTCGTCCTGCCCTTGTTTTGACGGGTATGCTGAATGGGATAGAAATGGGTTCCATGTTATGACTCGCATTGGTAATATCCCCCACATTCTTCCTATGTTTCGCAATTCTCGGAACATTCCGAGACCAGAGTGTGCTTGGGGGATTGATGAGCTTGGCCAGGAGCTCATGCATTTGAGTAGAACTGGGCGATGCAGTTTTTTTTTTTTTTTTTTTTTTTTTTTTTTTTTAAATGCACATCCCGGATGGATGCTAGGTATGCTGGTAAGAGCAGACACCTCTAGCAGCACCCGGGAGGCTCCATCTATTGGTGGGGAGCGGCACCTGCTGGAAATCGGGTCCAGCGTCCCACAGATACAACAAAGCAGCACAGTGAGTGTCCGGGGGTCAGGCCATGAAGTTGTTGCTTTGGAGCGTCTCTCTTTAAATTCCCTTGGCTGCATATACCCAATCCCCTTGAACAACTCCCATTAAAAGGCCAGATGCCCCCCAGGAACCCGCCCGCCCATTGCTTGGAATCTAAAACTAGCCGTGCACTATAGCCGACGGTGGGCCACTATCCCGAGTGTCAGCAGCCCCCATAACAACTCAGACCAGACTACTGTCTTCGTCACCAAAGAGCCGCCTCGTGACAACTCTCGACAGCAAAGGGCAGTCTGGTTTATCTCCAAACTCGTCCCAAGACAGGGAAGGCCATGGCTAGGCATTGTGAAATGCAGCTCTCCCCTCCCTGGGTATTGCTGAGGCAGGGATCCTGTCTCTGTTCTCTGGTGTGCATCTTGTGTAACCACCAGCTCCACTTTCGTCAATCGCAGTCGCACCAATTATTGGTCCGTCCTTGCTGAAAACTATTTGGAGGGAAGGGAAGGGACGGGGGGAGGGGCAGGGTATAGAGGATAGGGCATCAGACTTCTTGGGCAAGCAGAGATGTACAGCATCAGGGGTAAAGAAGGGCAAACAGCGATTTCGTCAAAACGGACATTTTATATTTTTTGAACGAAATTCAAATTGTCATTTTTGAGATGATTGAAGTGCAAAAACCATTACAAATGGGCGTTTTGGTGTGAGGGGTAAGGGGTAAGGTATAAGGGGTAAGGTATAAGGGGTATGGTGCAAGGGGTAAGGTGTAATGGGTAAGGTGTAAGGTGTAAGGTGTAAGGTGTAGGGGGGTAAGGTGTAAGGTGTATGGGGTAAGGTGTAAGGTGTAAGGTACCATGCAAGGGGCAAGTGACACAGTGCACCGAGGAATAATTAACACCTTATATACATTGCTTTTTGTCAAGCGCCATCTCATGCCAACCACGTCCGCCCCCTTCGCAATCATATTATATAATATCACGTACACACTACTCACGAACCACTGTGTCCAATGCCATCCGACGACGTATCGCGGGTATGTCATCTACGGTGAAACAGAAAGGCGGAAGTTGGCCCCGTGCCAAAAGTGACGCGTACGTGAGTACAAAGACCCCACATTCGTTCGTGTCATATTGCTTTGGAATGCCCTCTACATTCCATATGTGATTGAATGGTCTCGTCTCCACCTCTTTGCCTTGCAATTTCGATCTTTCGAATAAAAACTTTGCAAACCCGCTGGTCACTTTTAACGCGAACTCCTTGTCGGGGTCGAGGGGGTCGTAGAATTCGAATTTCCTCCTCCTCAA